GGGGGGTAGAGAGAGGTAGATACAGAGTCCAAAGCAGGTTCCAGGCTCCAAGCTGTCAGCACAGAGCCCAACACAGGGCTCGAACCCACGAACTGTGAGATCATGACCTGAGCTGAAGTCGGATGCTCAACCGACTGAGCCACCCAGGCGCCCTTAATTGTATTCATTTTTTTAAATTTTCAAATGATTTTTTTCCTTTTTTTCTCTTTTCTTTTCCTTTTTTGTCTATTCTATCGAGATTCTTTCAACAACCAGACCAAAACACACCTAGGATCTAGCATCCTTCATTTGATTTTTTTGTGTTGTTTTTAATTTCTTAATTTGTTTATTTATTTTATTTTATTAATTCTTTTTCTCCCTCAAAATGATGAAATGAAGGAATTCACTCCAAAAGAAAGAACAGGAAGATATGACAGCTTAATCAACAGAGATACAAGCAAGATGTCTGAACCAGAATTTAGAATCATGATAATAAGAATACTAGCTGGGGCTGAAAAAACCATAGAATCCCTTTCTGTGGAGATAAAAGTGGTAAAATCTAGTCAGGAGGAAATTAAAAAATGTTATAACTGAGATGCACTCTCAAATGGATGCCATGACAGCAAGGATTGATGAAGCAGAGCAGTGAATCAGCGATAAAGAGTATAAACTTTTGGAGAATAATGAAGCAGAAAAAAAGAGGGAAACTGAGGCAAAAGAGCATGATATAAGAATTAGAGAACTCAGTGACTCATTAAAAAGGAATAAAATCTGACTCATAGGGGTCCCAGAAGATGAAGAGAGAGAAAAACAGGTAGAAGTTTTATGTGAGCAAATCACAGTGGAAAACTTTCCTAACCTGAGGAATGACACAGACATCAAAATCCAGGAAACACAGAGACATCCAATTAGATTCAACGAAAACCAACCATCAACAAGACATGTCATAGTCAAATTCATAAAATACACAGACAAGGAAAGAATCATGAAAGCAGCAAGGGGAAAAAAGTCCTTAGTCTACAAGGAAAGACGGATCAGGTTTGCAGCAGACTTATGCACAGAAACATGGCAGGCCAGAAAGGAGTGGCAGGATATATTCAATGTGGAAAATTGGAAAAATATGCAGCCAAGAATTCTTTATCCAGCAAGGCTGTCATTCAAAATAGAAGGAGAGATAAAAAGTTTCCCAGACAAAAACTAAAGGAGTTCATGACCACTAAATCAGCCCTGCAAGAAACTTTAGGGGGGTACTCTCTGAGGGGAGAAAAGATGGAAAACAATAAAAACAAAAAAAGACCAAAACCAACAAAGACTAGAAAGGACCAGAGAACACCACCAGAAACTCCAACTCTACAGGCAACATAATGGCAATAAATTCATATCTTTCAGTATTCACTCTAAATGTCAATGGACTAAATGCTCTAATCAAAAGACATAGGGTAACAGAAGGGATAAGAAAACAAGATGCATCTATATGCTGTTTACAAAAGACCCATTTTAGACCTAAAGTCACCTTCAGGTTGAAAGTAAGGGGATGGAGAACCATCTATCATGCTAATCATTGCCAAAAGAAAGCCAGAGGAGCTATACTTATGTCAGACAGTCTAGATTTTAAAATAAAGACTGTAACAAGAGATTAAGAAGGGCATTATTGGGGCGCCTGGGTGGCGCAGTCGGTTAAGCGTCCGACTTCAACCAGGTCACGATCTCGCGGTCCGTGAGTTCGAGCCCCGCGTCAGGCTCTGGGTTGATGGCTCAGAGCCTGGAGCCTGTTTCCGATTCTGTGTCTCCCTCTCTCTCTGCCCCTCCCCCATTCATGCTCTGTCTCTCTCTGTCCCAAAAATAAATAAATGTTGAAAAAAAAAATTTAAAAAAAAAAAGAAGGGCATTATATTATAACTAAGGGGTCTATCCACCAAGAAGATCTAACAATTATAAACATTTATGCTCCAACATGAGAGCACCCAAATATATAAATCAATTAATCACAAACATACAGAAACCCATTGATAATAATACCATAATAGTAGGGGACTTCAACATCCCCACTTACGGCAAATGGACAGATCATCTAAACAGGAAATCAACAAGGAAACAATGGCTTTGAATGACACACTGGACTGGATGGACTTAACAGATATAGTCAGAACATTTGATTCTAAAGAAGAATACACATTCTTCTCAAGTGCACATGGAACATTCTCCAGAATAGATCACATACTTGGAACATAAATCAGTCCTCAACAAGTACAGAAAGAACAAGATTATACTGTGCATATTTTCAGACCACAAAGCTATGAAACGCAAAATCAACCACAAGAAAAAATTTGTTAAGACAACAAACACTTGGTGACTAAAGGACATCCTACTAAAGAATGAACAGTCTAACCAAGAAGTTAAAGAGGAAATTAAAAAGTACACGGAAGCCAATGAAAATGATAACACCACAGCCCCAAAACTCTGTGATGCAGCAAAAGTGGTCGTAAGAGGGAAATATATAGCAATACAGGCCTTCCTAAAGAAGGAAGAAAGATCTCAGATACACAACCTAACCTTACACCTTAAAGTGATGGAAAAAGAACAGCAAATAAAACCCCAAACCAGCAAAACGGGGGAAATAATAAAGATTA